CTGGGGGGCTGTGAAATGCTACCGCTGCAGGAGGAAGGGGGGGGGGGGCTTCAGTCTTACAGAACTGTCTTTGCTCAAGACCACTGCCAAGATTCAAAGCAAACAGCCCATGGAAAGAAAGAAAAAAAAGCCTCTGGGGAGGAATCCATTGTGAGAAGTAGATTAAACACACACGCACATGCGCGCACATGCACAATCACACACACATACACACACAAACATGACATTCCAGCAGGCTTCTTCAATGAACACCACCACACACCCACTCATTTTCCCAGTACTAGACACAACACGACCGGCCTGCCGTACACGCCCAGCACAGACAAACTTCCCCAGATGATAAACATGTGCTGCCGTCCCGAGGGCCACCCGGGGGCCCCTCGCCATCTTATCTCGAAGGGCTGCCACTCGCTTGTTCTGCCACCGCCTCGCTAAGCAGAAGCTGATCATGAATTATAAAGCAAAGACTGTAGCTGCAAGCTGATAGGAATGAAAAAGAAAGATGGTGCGATCCAGGACATTTGATTTTATTAAGTGGACCAAATGCTCTGTCAGATGGCAGTTCTCATGCCAAGCACCTCGGTTCCCCCCACATATTCCAGATCATTTAACTCTTCCATACTCTTTCCGTCGAGCCCGTCCGCAAAAACCACCCAAAGTGGGAATCCAGACGCAGAGCCGGAGCGATGTTTATTATTCGAGGGGAGGATTTCACCGAGCGTACGGTACAGGATGTTTTTTCGTGCCTGACAGAGTAAACAGCAGCAGCTGTTCACTTACAGCTGGGAAGGCCTGTGTTTATGTGTCGCCCGTGGCGGGTGTAGATCTGACGGGGCAGGCACAGGTGAAATACGAAGCGGGGAAATTGCATCTTTAATTAAAAAAAAAAAAAAAACGCATACTAGCATTCCAGTGACAGGGTACTCGCAAGAAAGGGTAGCCGGCTTTTCTGGAACGGTCCCACAGACGGGAGGAAACGTTAGCTTAGAAACAAGATTAAAGGGATTAGTAAATATTTAACTTTTTTTTTTTCCCTTTTGGGAGGGCCGCGGATTAAAATAAAGTCCCCCTTCTCTCTGGCAAACTGAAATATATAAAGAGCGCCAGAAAATGTGATTTACATTCAAAGTGATTGGGGGTGTGGCTCCCCGTCTTCAGCCTTTGAACGACGCATTAACAGCACGCTGAACAGCACTTCGGAAAAATGCAGCGGCATTCACACACTGTTATCCACGTGGGTGTTTGGGGTGGGGTGGGGGGGGGACACAGGGGATATCCTGTAGTTACTGTTTGAGCCCACCCCATTCAAGAATTCCCTGACTGACAGGGTTCAGAGGTTGGAGCTTTCAGAGATTAAGGGGCGACAGTGGCACAGCCCGTGCCCAGGCCTGCTGACAAACTGAGGGTCGCTACCACCATTGTGTTAAAATGGCGGGGGCTTTTAGGCAATTTAATTTGCCACTCAACTTCCTAGAAGAAAAAGATGATGGCTGTTTTGGCTACGCGTTCCGCGTGTTTGGGTGCAGGGGTTAAATAGCTAGCAAGGTAAAAATCACAGGGAGAAGAGCGGCCAGTCTTGCTCAGTTGGTCCTGAAAAACGATGTATACGTCTGCCTGGCTCTCATTAGCAATTTACCAAGGCTTTCCTGAATAAACTGGCCAATTAATCAAGTGTAGGGACCGAGGGAGGCCACGGTAAAAATGCCTTAATGAGATCACTTCATGGCTATCGCTTCGGAATATGAGTTTGTTCAAAAATACACATCACAGAGAACTATAGAATTGCTCGTCGATGTCCTGGCAACAGCTACGGAGAATTAGAGCACAGGAGACAATTAAAATGCGTCCAGTGAAATAAATGGGGATCCATTTAACACTACAGTAACAAGACAATAAATCCTGAATGAATCGTTTGCCAGGAGTAGCAGGGGAAAAAAAAACGTTTGGGAACTGTGCCACGATGGAGAGAGCATATGACTTTATTTTGGATCCGTGTTTATAACACAGCCCGTACTGTGTAAACAGAAAGCTGAAAGTATATTTCTTCTCCTTCCCATTTCCGTTTTTTATTTGGGCTATTTCTGACCACTGCTTCCAGTTTCTGGACTGTCTTCATGGTGCATTTCACAGCTATATCACTGCCTTTCTACCTTAAGATAGGTTGTGAGGTTTTTTTTTTTTTCTCTTCCCCTTGACAACGGTCATGAACTTAACCATGCAGTGTTTAGATAATCCTGGACAGATACTGTACACATTTTAAAGTGACAGAAGTCTGAAAAACACCAGGACGTACATTTATTCTCAGGTTTGGGGAGCCCAGCGAAAAATAAATCTTGATAGTAGCTGTATTGTTTTTGCCTCATCTTTCCAGTTTGGCGTGATTGCCACAAAGGGTTTCCATCAAATCTTACTGCTCATATGTCTGCTTATTCCCCAGGCATGGGGAAATAAAAATTCCAAAGTTCCATTTCAATATATATATATTGAACACACACACACACACACATATATATATATATATATATATATAAAATAATGTAGTGTGTGTGTATTATATGGAGAGATGGATTGCTGTCTACTGGGGTAGTCGTACGTAACAGGCGAGACTGATGCTACAAATTGATGACTTGAAAGAAGCCTTTGCAAACAAAGGAAGGAGAAGCCCGACTCCCAACAAAGAGAAGGGTGGAGGAAAATGGGGGGGTGTATTTTACATATGTAAATAGTGTTGTCCAGAAAGGGGTGAGAGGTGACGGTCATGGCTGAGTGCTTTAGGAAGTGGAGGGGTCTTTATGGCAGCCTTTGCACCCAACAAATCAACACCCAGCGAATAACCCCAACCCCCAGCCCCCCGCTCACCGCAGAGACAGAAAGCCCGCGTCAGTCCTGCCGGCCCATTTTAGGCCTTTCATTTGCCACTCTTTGAAAAGCAAGCTTTCAATTAAATCACAAACTGGACATATCATAAGAACAGTCTGACCAGGCAGACCAAACTTAAACTCAGGAAACAATGCGAATACAAACATTAGAAAAAATTGTTTTATTATAATCGGCTAGGAGCCAAAGGATATTGAAAAATGAAATTTGTGAAATAACGTGAAATCAGGAAGAAAAATGGCAGGCCTGGCTAGAGCGTTTCAGGGCTGAACGGCCATCTGGATCTTTGATAATCAATCAGCTCTGTGCGCCTGCAGCTGTTTGATGCGCTAGACTCTTATGCAAAGAGCCATCAGTTTGTATCAGACAGTGAATCTGCACTAAACAGCCTGAAAGTGCTGCACGCACAGTACTATACATACATGCCATGGGCCTAGCTGGTTCATCTGCGGATCACATTTATTCCAGGCCCTCATAATCAATGGCAAAAACCAAATAAGTTTATTACTTGTATATTAATGAAAGTATATTGTATATATTGTATCAAGGACCTAGATTTCAGTAGAGACGGTAGGGTCATGTTCCTATCAGTATTGTGGGAGTACTGTGTGCATATTGTTCTTCATTGTCATATGTTGTTTAAGTCTGCAGGGAAGTATGAAAGCAATTATTTAAATGAAGATCTACTTATAAAAATGACAATAAAGCTGTGGAATCCCTGAATCCTATGATTCAGGAGAAGCAGTCATAGCATTCGCTGGCCATCTTGTTGCATAGCAAGAGTGTAAATGGTAACTTAGCCAGGCATCCGTCCTTTTGGCCTCGTAGCCGGTGGGGTGGCGTTTGGGTGCAGTACAGGTTCCGCTTTCAGGTGTAGCAGAACCGACTGAGCAGAACCGACTGGCCTGTTCCATTCAGCTGTATCTGAGGACACTCCCCAGCAAAGATGTTGGCATGGATGCCTATTCACCAGATTCCTGAAATGCCTGCAGTTTCCTCCACAGAAGGCTAATTCCCACCGTGCCCCCAAAACACAGATTGAAAACAGCCATCATATCAACTATGTCACAAGAGTCAGAAAGGTTAAAAAGCAGTGTATTGATTTCTGGGACACCGCGTAATACTCTAGCAGAACAAATAGCGTGTTAGTCCACGGGAGGCCCATTATGGCTTAATGGGAGGACAGAGAAATTACTCAACGTGATTTAAAGTGCAAAAATGCTGATTTTTGACAAACTATGGTTGTGGTATACAGTGACCATTCAGTGCTGATCGAGTATGTAATCATGCTTCCCAAAGAGACTGTATTCTGCCGGAAGCACCCGGAGACAGTATCCCTGTTTATGTTTGTTGATTACCTAAGTAACACAAAACTATTCCTAAACTGGAATAAAAGCACAACAAGATCCATAACTAAAGTTTCTGGTTAATGGAAATATTTTTTTATACCAAGGAGATCTGACTAACAAATAAATCATGGATGCAGATAGTCTCGGCTGGCCAGATGTGTTCTTTAATCAATCCCCCCCAAATATAGTCTTTTAAATCACTGAAGAATGAAGATTAAAGATTTTTTTTTTTCTATCTAAAGAACATCTGGGACAGAAGCATGTTAATTTGAGAAAGACACATAGAGCAGGAGTTGGCACACAATCTGATGTGTCAGAGGTTTGGGACAAGAATGTTTTGCCTGTAAGCTGGCCAACCGAAAAGATTTGCAACACACAACCACATGCATACATCAGACATGCGGAAATTTTCACCTTAATGAGTTCAAATCCTTCATTCGTGTTTGAGCATTTTTTTTATATATTCAATTTATGAATTTAAAACAGAGGATTCAAAAGTAGCTATAGCTGCTGACATTAATAGCATTAGTTTGGGTAGACGTCTCATTCCACAAGCATCAGATCATCTGCTACTGCCCTGAAATTAATCTACAATGTCAAATTTGCAAATTATCTAAACTATATGTTGTCCCTAACGTTTCCCAAACAGAGGGCTGGCAAGTGTAGAAAGCGGAGGACCCTGTTTGCTCAGGGTGGAGCTGAGCAGGGTGTATGTGTGTGCGGAATGGGAGGTGGACCCGCATCTGTCACCAAGTTCATGTGATGGGAAGAACATCAGACTTTGCGAATCTCAGAGTT